CCAGATGGGCTAATATTGCAAACCATAGGTAAAAATGATGTAAGAAATATGTAGCAGCTATTCGCAACCCCCTGGGGGTTCGTCCAATTGAGCATTATGCATAATTATGCATAATTATGCACAATTAGACGAACCCCCAGGGGGTCAAGAATAGTTGCTACATATTTCTTACATCATTTTTACCTATGGTTTGCGATATTAGCCCACCTAGGTTTAAGGTTGCTGAGATGGGAGGTTGTCCGGGATTAAACTGGAGGCTGTTTTTAATTTTAACTGGAGGGAGTTTGTAATTCAGTTAATACACTGTATCCTACCGACAGGAAGCATTTTTCACAGGTGTGGGATAGACCTTTTGAGGTACTTCTTAGCGTTCTCTCTTGACGACCTTTAAAAATGGTTCACTATTATTTTCACTTCTCAATGTCTCTGTGTTGTTTCCATGTACATTCATATCTACAAGGCTGACCCTAATAGGTTGCTTTCCACCTATTTTTGTCAGCCAACTATTTCTCTGAATGTGTGTACAGGAGGTTATAATTTGTCTTTTCTCTTGCTCTTCATCTATCCCTTCATTTCCTTATTTGTGTTACTTTCCCTTTACTTTGACTTTCTGTATCTTTTTACGTCTGAATGAGACATTTCAATTCTCCTTTTTCGCAGTTTGATACTCGGCAAAAGTCAATTTGTACTTTTTCACTCCGAAGTCCTCTTTGTCTTGCTTTCCCTTCTTCATATGTGTTTCATTAGTGTTGTTGTTTCTCTTGCCCAGATGTTATTTCTCATACCATATTTCTTTACATCTCTCTGTGTTTCTGTACGTTTATTTATCACAACTCGTTAGACCTACTGGAAACTGTCCGAACGCAGCGGGCGCAAGGTAAGGGCTACAAAATGTAGGTCGGGACTTCTGCCCTGGTGATGCTAGCATGCATTTTTGCTGACTGCCAGGTCACTGACGCTTTCTAACTTATGATATCTTCTCTGTAACTTCAGTCTGGCTTTCTAAATGCTTGGCACAGCTCACTGTTGAAAGTAGGAGAGTTTGCATTTGTTTGGTAGGTGTGGTTGTAAAAGTGTTTTCACTCAAAATTTATGGTACTATGTTTTGTTTTGACCTGTGAGGGAGATACGCATGGCTTTATGATGCCGTTGATTTGAATTTGCTTGGCTCAGGTTGCAAATTCAATTTTTAACATGTAGACATACTAAAAAGTAAAGCAGAGGTGGTTTTGTATCCTAAAGTATTACAAGTTGTGAAGGATTTTCAACTGCTCCTTCACTTACTGTGCTCTTTAATCAGCAAAGTTTAGAGTTGTATAAAGAATGCTGTCTTGATACATAATAAACAAGTTCCCTTCATGGGGCTCAAAATACCACCTGTATATGCAGGTTAGTGCAAGTAAAATTGGGACTGTGCAAGCATTTCTGATGTCTACCTGCTACCTGTTTTACTCCCATTTGCAGCAGCAGTTTTCTTGTGTCTGAAGTGAAATTCTTTTCTCTCTCGCAGTTTAAGTGGCAGCTGTACCAGTCCCTGCTGAGTCGCACCCCGACCCGGGCTGAACTCATGATGATCCTGCAGAACATCCAGGCTATTCTCATCAAGGCCACATACGGACGCACCATGCTCAAGTGCAAGTAAGTTCAGCTGGTACTGACAGCAGAGAGATATGCAATATCATTCGTACAGGGTTGTCACCAGAAATTTTCCATCTAGTAGGGATCAGGCACTACATGCATAACCACACAAAGTTAGCCTTCTGTGGCTTTGCATGGAGGGCCCAAGACATCGCCACAGTTGGGGTTCTGGATCCTCCCCAGAAAGTTTCTAATTCATAACCACCTGAAGCTATCACCAGCATTTTGAGGGACACAATTATTTAAGGAAAGTTTCCCCGTTACAGCTTTATTCTTCAGCCAAATGTTAATTTTTTAAAAGACTTCACAGGGTTCTCCTCCCCCCCCCCAAATAAAAAACACCCCTACCCTTCTTGAAAGCATAAGGGCATAAGTCACAGCAAAGGGGTTCTGTAGGCTCAGACTATGCTGGCTAGTAGAAGACTGTTGTGTAATATTATTTGTAGTTGTTTATCACATTACAGTTTACCAAACTCATTAAGAATCTCAGTTGAATAGCTTGATTTTGTTATTTTCACGTCCGCAGGATCAGTAACATCTCTCTTGACGTTGGCCGTGAGCGGAGGTCCAACGACACCGGGCGGGAGCCTGCCACGGACAGTGTGGAGGAGTGCATGTGTCCTCCTGGGTACACTGGGCTATCATGCCATGTAAGTAGCTTTGATCAACATGATTGTGTGATGAAGTACAGCAAGGCACAGAACATAATTATCTTGGACACAACATGCTAGTCTCCCATGGCTGTCATAAAGGCTAATTTACTGGGCATTGCTGTCGAGCCAAGGAAGAAATACTTTCATCTGTCCTCCTGTAGAAACCAAGAGAAAATGATACTTGATAAAGGTTATGTGGACAAACGAGTACATAGCTTCAGTTTGGGATGTTCTGTCAGAATGTAAAGCCAGGAGCCCTGTGTTCAAGCTCATTAAAGACCCCACCCCACTTATCAGAAAGATTAGGGTGTCCATCCTGGTTTGAGTAGATCAAACCTTCAGTTTGTTCTTACACACTGCGCCCAGTTTGTATTGTAATGCAGTTTACTGAGAAGGCAAAGTATGGCAAACAAAGTTTCGACCCTCACTTGCTGGACACTCCTAAAGCACATGTAACTTAACACTCCTAAAGGGCAGGCTGCAGAAGCGAGGGCCTGCGAATCAGCGACAACTGACATCAACATCAGCACTTAAACAGACTGTAGAGGACTGCAGATTGTAGGACTGAACCTGGAAAATTATTGAACTAAATGTTCCTATACTGCGACTGCTTTGTACCTGTACATGTTTGTAACATTATTTGTATACTGTTGTGTTCAACTTGTAATTTTTATGAATGTATGTTTTAATGTATGTGCCCAGAGATACCAGAAAAACAGATCAAAGGATCTGAGGCATGCCCTGGTGAAATAGATAAACTTGAATCTTGTATGGTTTGCATTTGCAGGAATGTGCAGAAGGGTACAGGCGAGTTGTGAACGGTCCGTACCTGGGCCGCTGCATCCCGTGTGACTGCAACAACCACAGTGCAGAGTGTGACCAGATCACAGGCATCTGTGAGGTACGTGTGGTCCTGAGTTTGAAATTCTGAGTACCAGAATAATGTCTTAACTTTTCATCACTGTAAGATGAGGTTTCCTTCTTCAACCTTTAGCGCTCAAAGCTGTGTGGGTGAATGATCTTGTTTCACGGGCCTAGTGTAACCTCAATTATCTTGCCATGTTACATACAGGAGTGCACTATACACAGAAAGGTTGCATTGGAGATTATTGACTTTATTTTCAGGGTTCTAGTAGTATGTGTTTCCCTAGAACATGTATGTGAAGTGAAAGAATTATGTCAAATAAAGATGTGACAACACTTTAGAAGTATGATCTTAAATCTCTGTATTTTATCCAGTAGCAAAGCTTGAGTTTTCCTGAAGTACAAGTGTTAAAAACTTGAGGGGCAAAAGAGGCTATTTCACTGTAATAACCTTCTATATTGATGTATTTTTTTACTTGTTGTTATTGACAATGTAAATTTTGATGTTGTATACATGTATGTGTTTTTGTATGGGGCAGGGCAACTTGTAAAGGTGCGTATGCATGTGTTTTGCCCTCCCTTTCACTTTGTGAAAAATCGAAACAAATAAACTAAGCTCTAATTTGTTTTCTTCAGAACTGTGACGACAACACGACCGGCCAGAACTGTGAGAACTGCGCGGACGGATTCTTCGGAAACGCCGTGCCCGGAGCGGACGATTCTGGCTGCAAACGCTGCGCCTGTCCTCTAGCCAACGACGAGAACAAGTACGTCTCTTTTCTTGGAAGTTCATCTGTGTTGGTAGTTACGTTTTTAGAGTTAAAACTTCAGATCCAACACAAAGAAGTTCTCATCTAGAGCTTTCGACCAGTCACTGTAGCTGGTCTTCCTCAGTAGACTGACCCAGTGAGGGGTGAAAGAGGCTATTTATTTATATCACCCTTCACTCAACTTCACCGAGATGGGGGCCGACATCATCTACCAGATACCGTTGACCCAGTGTTGACGTCACACTTAAAAGAAATGATGTGACAAGCCTCACTGGGTCAGTCTACTAGTGAGGAAGACCAGAGTGACTGGTCGAAAGCTCTAGGTGAGAGAACTTTGTGTTGGATCTAAAGTTTTAAAACAAGTAGGTGTCTTTTTCTGTATGGGGAAAATGTCTGCGCAACAAATCTGCCAGACAGTTTTCTAAATATATTAATAATATGCAAGTTTGAACTTGTAAAAGTAGGTACTTTGAGAGCGGTGGAATGCATGGCAAGATATATTTTCTCTTTTTTTTTAATGACAAGTTTGTAATTTGTAACATCTAAAGCTGTTGTAGTAGTATGAATTTGTTGTTCAATTTTCATCAAAAATGTGTTTTTTTTCCCCAAATCCTGGACAGGTAGTACATTTGGGTAATGCATATTACACAAGCAAGTCTTGTCACTCTTTTTTTTTTACTTGCACTTGACCTGAGAGCAGATGTGAAGTCATCATTTCTTTCCCCACATGATTTTCTCCATCCCTCATTCCCTGTGCTGCAAGGCTTTCCCTCATTCTTTCACTCTTCAGACCAGGGATGAAGGGAAGCCTTGAAGCTGGTGACATGGACAAATACCGAATATTCTTCTCCTGGCATTTTTTCTGTTCCAACATGCATCCTTTTCTCTCATAAAAACAAGACAGTTATTACAGCATTAAAAAGGCAGCACAGATACTGGTACAGAAAGACTTGGTTTCTATCTTACATCTCTTCTGCAGAAGTTGAATTTTTCCTCCTCCAATTTTGACTGCTGCATGCAAAATTAGCTTTTTGCTGTACCCCGGGACATGTACTGTACTCTCACAATTTCTTTTTTATTTCCCTGTCCCCACTACAGCTTGAATTCATGACACTCGAATATGTCTCCGTGCATTACCACTGTACTACAGAATTTAGATCTGTGAAAATCCTATCCCTCGTACAGTGAAATAAAACTACCACACAAGCTTTATAATTTACAGTAAACCTTTGCCAAAAAAACAATGCCTTGGAACAGGAGAAATGCCAGGGTTGCTGGTTATTTGTCTGTGTGACTGTTCTGTCCAGAAATCTCATCTGCTCTGGGTTACTTTTCATTTCTGTCACGACTGTGAGTCACCACTACTTTTTTGTCCCTCTCCTCTCCCATCTTTCTTTCTTTCTATGTTTGTTTGTTTGTTTGTTTGTCGTGAATGTCTTGTCCAGACCTCAAAAACAAGAGGTTGTCCGGATTATCATGAGACCTCAAAATGACGAGGTTGTAGCCAGTCAGTACTCAAGGTACCTCCTCTCTTGTTTGTGTGCTTTTCCTAGCACGTCGGCAGCCTCACTATTACTAGTATTAGAGGGATAAATCTCTTTTGAGTACTCTAGCAGACAATTGAGATCTCATCACAAAGGATAAGACCAAAAGAGAGCTAGAAGAGCTCTGTCCCCATTAGAAGAGACTCCAAAGAGCACTGCTGTAGATTCCTTCTTGACACCTAAGGTTGGACCCCCTCAGATACAATCAATTGTTTTGAACAATAGATAATTAAATGGGGATTAGCATCTAACCCTAACAATGACATAAAAACAACAACATAGCAGCCATGTTTTCACAGGTGATTTTGAAAGAGACTTTTCAAACAATGGAAAATTATGTAAGAAAACAGTTTCAAAAAAGAGACTTGTAAGAGACTGCAAGGGATCTGAGATAGCATTTGGGAGAGCAATGCCTAATCCAAAGAGATCTGCTGTTTTGTCAATTGTCCGCTAGAGTACTCTAACGAGTTTTATCTCTCTACTAGTGCCTGCGCAGAACCCTGGATTTTCATTCAGTTATTCATTCATTCACTCATTTCGAAACCATTTTAGCCCTGCTGGGCTAATCTTCCAAGGCTCAAACACATTTAAAATGATATGATTATATAATCACAAAAAAGTACAGTAAAATAACATTTAAAAGACATACATCACAAAATCTATAAGAAAAATCAACATTTTCACAGTTTTCGTTGGATTTTTGGTCAATGTTGCATCAGGATTTTGCCTGTTGCAGACGATATCTTTTCCGACATAACATTATGCGAATATGATGTTACATTGAGTCGTTCTGCTGAAGTGCAATGTACAATATCAGGGCTCTCCCCAAGCAATGAAGCAAGAGTGCCCCCCCTCTCCCAAAAATTCTATGTTCAAATTTAGGTTCTTAGTATCATGAAAATTCACTAATTTTTCATCAACCGATTAGGGAGCACCTCTCCCCTAAGACTTTCTGGGGAGACTGCTGAACACATTACGGGTTTTGCGCAGGTGCAGTACGTTCTGCCGACGTGCTACTTTTCCACGGCATCACTTTTCTCTCCACCTCTCTTTCTTCTCATGATTGTGTTGATGGTGCACTTCTTTTGCAATGGCCAGACTAACATACAATGGTTAAAATGCCAGTGGATGGGAAACAAAGATTGCAGACAATGACCAGAATGGCAATACAAAGTAGAAAAAGCATTTGCATTTTGAGAGTTAGAGAAAGCTAAAACCCAATACACTTCAATTTAAGGTGCATATTTCTGTATCTGTATCTGTATAGCCGGTATAACCGCCTTTCGGCGTAACACACCACCATATATTTCATATCTTACTGTATGTATACTTTTTATGACGATAATATAATATCTTTTCTGCATAGAGCAAGACTCTAACTACCCTCCACTGGCTCAAACCTGGACGTGTTATCCTGACCAAACATATTTACCTATGATTACATTTCACTAGTTTGGTCTTACTGGTACTACTGTAACACTTTACAGTACAATGTAGCAATACCATCTTGTTACACCAATGCTACCCTTGATATCACTTCAAGGAAGTTACATGTAATGCAGTGCTTAGAAGATGATTTAATCTCTAAGTGTGCTGCTGTTTTAGTTGCTAGTTGCCTGTAGTCATGCCTAACAGTAGCCTTGCTGGATTCTCATCTCACCCCCAGCTTCAGCTCTACGTGCAGACAGGATGCGGACGGTAATATTACATGTACGGGCTGTGAGCGGGGATACACGGGAAGGCGCTGCGAGAGGTGTGTGTGTGACTTATAGATTGCCGTGCCGTCGGGCTGGCCTGTCGCAGGGTGAACAGGCAGGAACTATCGTTGGCAAATGGTAGCCTCGATGACAGTACACTCCAAGCAGAGGTTTGGGTTTGGGGTTATTTTGGGTGTGTTTTTAGGCTTTTTAATCAGGGTTTCTCTTTTGCACTGGAATTTTTTCCCACCAATTCCAGTGCAAAAGAGAAACCCTGATAAAGAAAAAGCCTGAAAACATGCCAAAAATAACCCCAAACCTCTGCTTGGAGAGTAGGATGACAGGCCACAGTGCAAGTTAGACATTACTTGATCTCTTTAGCCCGCTCCCATAGTTGGATCCCTACTAAAAAAAAAAAATTTTTTTACTAAAAAAAAATTTTGTTAAAAAAATTTTTTTTCTAATACTCTTAAACGTGGTGTGAAGACTAGACGACCCCTGTATCAGGGACCCCTACAGCAGTATAATAAAACAATTGCATGCTACCACTACTTTGGTCACCATGTAACAAGACCCAAAGGCCACTAAAGAGTGATCCATAGGGCTCTCCAAGGTTACACGTTGCACGAATAAGACAGTAACAGGATCTCTTCTCCCTAAGTCAGAAACATCATGATAATGACAAGCTCAAAAACTACAACTGACCCTATAGCTATGGGGAAAGCGTGCGAGAGAGGATTTTTGGTACGGTTCCCAACTCTGGCATATTACGTCAGTTGGTTGAAGAGAGCAAAACTATCTTTTGCGTTGTGGGTCTGGCATCCAGGCTAGCCAAAGTTCGGCCAGCCTGTTTATCTGGTGGCAGACCAGCCTTGCGGCATGGCAATTTATTTATCATACCCTAGGCAAGGACACAAGTGTGACTATGGGGGGGGGGGGTGATGGTTAAGAGTAAGACTACAATGACTATTCTTCTGCCCTTCTGTAGATTTTTACTATTTCAGAATATACTATCAACTTACTATTAATCATAACTTAATGATCTCTTTATAGTAAGAGATATACATTGTAGGTTAAGTCATTAACTGTAGATGTCTCTGTAGATGTCAGAAAGCAGGAGCTCAGCATGAATTTTAACTAGATACAATGTCTATACTAGGGCCGCTGTAATATGCAAAATGTATGTAAGTAGGAAAGTACGAGTAGGCAAGACGTAATGTATGCATCTCTTGTAGATTCTAAGCCAACAACCATGCTTACGTAATACAACAAGTCATCATCAAACTACTGGATAAATTCTCTTAAGAGTCGGGCTTTTCAGACTGCATCTGCTGTCTTTCATCAGTGACTGAGAATGATCTGAAAGTACATGTAGAACCGGATTCATTCTCATACATGTATCTCAGCATGAAAGTTCAACTGTGTTGGTACAAGTCATTATGAAATAAAGACTAAACTTTCTCTGCCAACACTGGAATGAATGGGGACTTGCCCCAAATTTTCAGCTGACTCATTCAACAATGTTTGCAAAATAGACCCGTCTACTCAACGGATTCATTCTCAGTCACTAATAGAAGAAAGTGGACTCTGTCTGAAATGTCTGACTCATTAGAGAATTCATCTAGTTATGTTTACCGAAGGAAACATATTATATTTTCTTGCTATATTTTGTGTGACATAATATTGTACCTGGATGCCTAACCTTCATCACCATGACAACTGTGCTGTAACCCGATCTGCCGCGTGACAGATGTGAGCAGGGTTACTACGGCAACCCGACCATCCCTGGTGGGCGGTGTTACGAGTGTGCGTGCGACCAGTCGGGCTCCCTCAGCCCCATCTGTGACCAGGTTACCGGGGAGTGCCAGTGCCAGCCAGGCATCACTGGCCGCGCCTGTGACCAGTGTCAGCCCAGATACGCCCTGACTGAGAGGGGATGCATCAGTAAGTCTTTCTCTTATTTATTACTATAGGTACATATAGATGCCCTATTGAGCCAAGTCCAGGCATACAAATATAAAAAAGTGAATGAAAAAAGTTGCTAGGCACATACATTTACCAGCTGTGCTACGACCAGTGTCAGCCAAGATATGCCCTCACAGAGAGGGGGTGCATCAGTAAGTCTTTCTCTTATTTATTACTATAGGTACATATAGATGCCCTATTGAGCCAAGTCCAGGCATACAAATATAAAAAAGTGAATGAAAAAAGTTGCTAGGCACATACATTTACCAGCTGTGCTACGACCAGTGTCAGCCAAGATATGCCCTCACAGAGAGGGGGTGCATCAGTAAGTCTTTCTCTTATTTATTACTATAGGTACATATAGATGCCCTATTGAGCCAAGTCCAGGCATACAAATATAAAAAAGTGAATGAAAAAAGTTGCTAGGCACATACATTTACCAGCTGTGCTACGACCAGTGTCAGCCAAGATATGCCCTCACAGAGAGGGGGTGCATCAGTAAGTTTGTTTATTTATTATATAATAGCCTTTATTGTACATAGTTGTAAGGTACATGTATATACATTCACCAGCCGTGCATGTTACCAGTGCCAGCCCAGATATGCCCTGCATCTTATTACTTTACTTTACTTTATTGGGGACTGAAAACACATCAGTACACGAGTCATCAAGGCAGTCGAAACTGGTAGTAGTGAACCCACAAATACAGACGTTATACAAACATAGATAAAGAAATCTAACTGCAAAGTGCAAAACAGAAATAATGTTATTAATAACATAATTAACATCCTTAATTGGTGGCACAAGGTGACCTCAATATGGCTTTCCCCAACCTAAGTTAGGTACCCATTCACACCTGGGTGGAGTGAGGAAAGTCGTGTAAAGTGCATTTCCCAAGGACACAATGTCGGGGCGCATGTCCAGACATGTTCCAGGTACGACTCAGGATCGAACCCGCGTCTCCCGGTTCACAGTCGAATGATCTACCACTACGCCACCCGACGCCACCTTGATGTTTTACGGAAATAAACCATTGATTCATTCTTTTTCCCCCCAGATTGTGATGATGAGTGTACAGGCGTGCTACTGGACGATATGGAGCGTCTGGAAGCTCTGCTGCGTTCGCGGAACCTCAGCCGGATGGCTGCAATGTTTTACGGAAATAAACCTTTATTCATTCATTTATTCCTTTCCTCCCAGATTGTGATGATGAGTGCACAGGCGTGTTACTGGATGATATGGAGCGTCTGGAAGCTCTACTGCGGTCGCGGAACCTCAGCGGCGTGTTCCCCGCGCCCTGGCCGACCCTCATGGCTCTGGAGAACGAGACTCTGGAACTACAGGTCAGTTTAATCATCGTCTGTTATATCAACAAAATGTTGGACACCAAAATCAAGCAACTTACTGGATAAATTCACTGAGGAATCAGACGATTCAGACAGCAAACTCGAGTGAACCTAAATACAAGTGTAACCTGTATATAATTAAAATGAGAATCTGAGTTTTTTTCTGTACACTGTAAGTGAGGAAGATCAAGAAACTCTGTTGGACCTCATTTACTTCAAGTTAGACACTCGTTTATGTTACACTTGTCTTGGGACTCTCTTAGTCATTTGTTGAAGATAGTGGATGCTGTCTAAAACATTGTGGACAGTTTACATTTGTAGTTGCCCCGACCGCAGGACAGACTGCTATGGGACCGGTGAGGTGAGGTGAGGTCTAAAACATCTGACCAGAGAATCTATTCAGTTGCTTGATTTATTTCTGGCTCTCTGTTGTTCACTGTTCACTTCCCGTTTGAAGTTTGCTATTTGAGATCTTCATCCTTTTCATAGATTTCGTTATGATGCACTATATCCTCTGTTTTCTTTTCTTTCCTTTCTTTCGCTTTTGAGATGTTGAAGTTACTAACCATGTCGATCACCTGTTGTTGATGTACATGTATGTTGATACATGTCAGGGCTCGAAATTCATTTTTTGGAACAGGTGCACTAGTGCACCCAACCTAAAAACTTAGGTGCACAGAAATTTTTTGGGTGCACCATATAAAACAAAACTTATTTGCAGATCTTACTGCTCCTGTTCTGAGGTTGAATCTGAAATGGGAGCTAACTTCAAAATCTTACTCAAGTACCGCTACAAAGATTTAATTATTTTTCACACTTAGATGCCAAAAATATCCTGTATACTACAATCATGTATTATACATTTAGGCCACACCAATTCAATTTGTTGGTTCTCGGATTCGCCTCTTCGTTTTTTCTGATTTGCAAAAAAAAAAAATTGATTCTGGTCCTGAATCAACTGAAAAATGCTCATGTTTTGCCCCCCAACAGTTGAGGAAAGTCCTTTTCTTCCTAGTTGTTACAGTTTTCCCATCTATCATTGCAGTGGTTTGATTAAAACTTTTAAAAGTTCAAAATTCAATGTTTAAATTTTAACCCAGCCTTTTGTGTTGACTTCATGGCTCATTTTGTAGCATTTAAGCCTATTATAGGACGCCTAGACCTGTTTTTATTTTTATTTTTTTTCGCCCTGTCGCTTCATATTTTTGCTGAAAAAATCCGAGAACCAACAAATTAAATTGGTGTGGCCTTAATATGTACAAAAATACCTGCAAAAAATATTTGGGTGCACCCACGGAAAAAATATGGGTGCACAGCTCCAATTTTGGGTGCACCCAGTATTTCGAGCCCTGTGTGTGTTTGTCAGACCTTCCAGTTGTGTTCGTCCTTATGAAAGACAAGTTTGCTAGTAGTTTTACTTAATTCAATGTGTAAAATCTGTGTTAACAATGTATTAACTATATTATGCATAGACTGTCCAGATACATGTAGTTTAACAGTTGTTTGAAATTACATGTATATCTCACCCGTCCTAACCCATTTTGTAACTTGAAATTTGTCAAACATTGTGCTTCTAACAGTCCCAACATGCGACTTCAATTAACATTTATCTACCAGGTTACATACATGTGTATATCTACCACTTTTGAAAAACAGTGTGTTTGAGAGGTCTCTAGTGCATGCAGCAGTTAGCCTCCATAGCATGCCAAAAACTAGGGTTTTGGGGGGGTCTTCAGGGTCTTTGGGAGCTTTTATGTGCTATTTTCTGATTGCATATAGACAACGTTAACATAGCCGGCCTGGTTGAATTACCCCCGTTTTTAGAACTGGGCTAATCAGAAAGCAGCCGAAGACCACCAAACTCCCAGTTCTATAAGCCTGCTACGGAGGCTAATCAGAAAACAGCCGAAGACCACCAAACCCCCTGTTCTATAAGCCTGCTATGGAGGCTATGCAGCAATTACGTTCATAGACGTTGCATGTATGTGTACAGATGTCTTTGTCTTTTTGTCCGTACCCGTGTGTGTTATCATTGTGACTGTGTATTTGTGTTTGTTGTTAACAATACGACACTTCACTCCTCTTCTTTGCACTGTGTTTTTCACGGCTGTCCCGTATGACGTGTCCAGGCACAACTGAAGGTGGGAAACACACTATGATAAAATTGTTTGTTGCTGTGCACTGAAAGATATGCTTGCACAAAGCACAAAGTAGGGCTGTGTACCTCATACCTGTACCTGCATCCAAAGTTGTTAAGGTCCAGGTCCATTTTTCGTAAATGCCATCTCAAAAATGACAATTTTCACAGTATTACATTTGAAAATCAAGGAAAAGTGTTTTTCGACTAAGATATGTAAACCCCCATATGAAGACAACATGTTATCACTAAAAAAACACTATATTTATGACTTAAAGATGTTTTTTACTCCAGGACATGGACTCAAAATTTTAGGTACCTCATAAGGCTGTGTACCTCATACCTGTACCTGTATAATTATTCAGGTACAGGTCTGGACCTGAACATATCTGATGTATGGTCTGTACAAATTTAAAGAAAACACAGGTGTAGACACCATATTTATCATATTATGTCAATTGTATCATTCTCAAAAATAACAATTTTCACAGTGATGCACTTTAATGTCAGAAATGTAATGATCTTGTTTTTAGGCGTCAACGAAGAGAACAATTTTCCACTTAATTTACCATTTAAACTGCCAGAAGGCAATATTTATTTTATAACGAACAGAACTGATAATTGGCCACACTAGTTTACATGCACGTGCAGGACCTGAAATTTATTTAGGTACACAGCTCTAGCCTGAATGAACTGTTTCTTGCAGGGACTTTCTGGCATGTTCCTGAGTTGCTTCCAGCTGCCTCTATTAATATAACAAAGCATGTAGACACAGTTTTGCTTTCCTTTCAGATCTGGTCTAGTCTGAGCTTGATTTTTTGTTCTTTTGTCTGTTGAAATGTTTTGGAACAGCATATATAGCCATTAGAGGAGTTAACATGTAACTTGTAAGAGTTACTAACTTAAAGACTACTATTGCTAAAATCTCTTACACGTAAGCTCGAGCATACAAAAAATATTGCAGACATGTCAGGGCATTGTGCTACATGATTGTGTAATTTTAGACAAGCATAATCCCAAAATCAAAAGTAAAATTTAAAATAATCTATGTAAATGCTCTATCAAAGATGTACACTTTCTGCTTATGAAGCAAGTGTTTGCACACAGTACTAGTTAAAGCCTTTCCTTTCCAGTTGCTTGCTCTACTGAATGTGTAAAAGCTTAATGAATCCAGTGCTGCCTGTCATGTACATATATAGTGTATGATTGCAATATGACTGAATTAAGGGTATGTATTAATATATTTTATTTCCCACATGGCAACAGCCCTTTATTGATGCGTTCAACCGGCTGCAAGACAAGGCCCAGAACATCTCAGACCTGGAGCGGCTGGCAGACAGGCTGCTGAGGAGGGTAAGGAACTACAGACTCAGACACTGGCATTTGACTAACATACATGATAGATTGACAGTGTGTACAACTTTTATAAGTACCATCAGAATGATCCTCTGTACCAGTACTTGGCCTATTAACAGGTCAGGTGGAATTTGAATGCATATCAGGGAGTATTTGGCAGATTTTTCTTGTAATCATTCTACAGATGTTCAAAACATCCTACAGCTGTTTGGAATATAAAATGTGTATGTGTGTTTGTCTCTCTGTCTGTGTGTATGAATGTGTGCATGAGTGTGTGTGCATAAAATGCTGTGAACAAGTAAGCAATGTGGTAAAGAGAGGGCAGGCATCAAGTTTGTTGAACTGATTTTTTCAATTCAATTCTTATTTCCATACCAACATCGCAGACATTCAAAATATAACTATAATGTTGCCTGAATGGCATTGGTATTTACAACATTACATTGAAATAATCACATAACATTATACATATATACATGTACATAAATACATGTATATACACTACGTGGGGTCGTGTGGCGCAATCGGTAGCGCGTTCGGCTCACACCCCAGAGGTCGTGGGTTCGAACCCCACCTTGTCACCGATCTTGTGCCCTTGGGAAAGGCACTTTACACGACTTTCCTCACTTCACTCAGGTGGAAATGAGTACCTAGCTTCGGCTAGGGACGCCCCTCGGATAGGACGTTAAATGGAGGTCCCGTGTTTGGGGAGAGCCACACCCCACGCACGTTAAAGATCCCACCACACCTTTCGAAAAAGAGTAGGGGCATGCCCCGGTGTGCGATGGTACAAACACTACTGTATGGAGTTGGTGATTCACTTCAAATCACCCGAATGGAGGCCTGGCGAACCTCTGTTCCGTATCAGCCACATGGTGATTACATCACCACACATGGTGATTACATCATCACCCGGACGGAGGCGTGGCGAACCCCGTCTTGTATTAAGCTAACGAAAGGGTATGCCACCTCGTAAGGGGCGGTATAACCCCGACCAATACGGTCGACCGATGATGATGATGATGACACTACTACAATGTACACTAAAGTGCTCAAATTAAAATAGACAGGTTTCCCCTCAGCTATTACTTGTATACTTTTTCAATGGATTAAAAGGTGAAGGCAATAAAGTAAAGAACATCCAGAGTAACCATTGTTAGCTAGAACACTCGTTTAAAACAATGTTTGTTTTGCAGGCCAACGAGGCCGTCCGTAACGCCCCGCCCGTGGACGAGGATGCTGGGAAGGTTCGTGACCGCGCGGCCGACCTTGAGATGAGGGTCATGAACGCTGCCCGAGACCTGCAGAGTAAGTCTGGACACTGAATGGACCGTTCCATAAGCCACGCCCCCCTTAGCAACGCCCTAGCAACTCGAACACCTCCGTCAAAATCAGTGCGGGAAGGGCCGTACCGACTGCCGCCGCCAGAATGTCCGATTTGCAGCCCAACTTTACGGTCGATTTTTCGGCAGCGAAAAACTCTCCCAGGAGACAAAAAAATTGGTTAAGCTACATTTGTTGAACGGTACATCCGCAGAGTAGAATTATTTTAGGAGGGGACAGAGGTAGTTTCAGTGAGAGCAAAATGTTTTCGCTCAATACAGATGCGGGATTGGCCGCATAACATCACACGGTAGGTGGACAAGAGTGCCCAGTTGCTGACTAACAGCCGATACATGTGTGAAACAGAGTCGTTTATCTGTGACAGGTTTTCCACGGCATTTGCTGCATACATCACAGATGCATACAAGCCCCCTAAAAAAACGAAATGGGAAATAAAAACTCACTGTCTTCTCTGTGAAGACCAGTGGAAGTATACATGTAGCTCTTCTGTTCATTAAATTCATTTTAGCTAAATTGATCACTTTCACCTTATCTGAAACTTCTCTTGTTTTCACAGATCTGGTTGAGCAGCTGGTGAACTTCACGCGGGGCCCCGGATCGCCGGTGTCGGATCTCGAGGCACAGCTGCAGGAGGCTCGCAGGATCCTCAACCAGATCCGCGGCCGTGATCTCAACGGCTCCAGGGCCGACGCTAACAGGGAACTCAGGTAACCAGCATGTTTGTTTTTTTAACGGAGTGGTTCAATGCAAGGCCGATACTTCAAATCGGCATTGAACTAGAAATATGAGAGAAACATGGCTATGTCAAGAGATGGTGGTGAACGTTGATTTGAAAGCCTGTAGATTGTAGGTCAGTGCGAAACACTTGTCAGGGAGGGAATTCCAAAGCTTGGCCACACGGGGAAAGAAACTGTCACTGTAAAAAGATTTCGAACAAGGAATTTGGACAGTGAAGTTGTGTGAACTAGTGGAGAAGCTAGTGGAATGCTTAAAAATTCTGAGTGGTGGAACTAGTTGGGTGAGTTCTGCAAGTTCTGCCTCTACGAGTACAGTAAATGTACAGTCAAACCTGCCTATTTGAATGGCAAGCTGTGGCAAAATGAGCAAGTGTTTTGCCCAGATTCAAGCAGTTCTGGTTTTAAAGCGCTGACATGATGCTGTGAAATTCAGGAAGGTGCTTTACACAAATTTTCTTACTTGGGTGAAAATGAGTACCTGACTTGAGTTTGCTTGAGGAAATCTGGAGCACTTATTCCAGCATCACTGCATCACTAGTCAGTGCAAATGTGGGCATCCAAATGAGACATCAGATGACTATTTATTGCACTGCAAATTTTACAATACTGAAAGGACCAAAATGTTGTTATCCATATCTAGCCTTCATCTTGAAAATATACTCCCTTCCGATCCATTCAACGCAAATGACGCCACATTGTGTACTTTACTTCTTACAGGTAGCCCCTCCCTCCCATACTCTACTAACCGCCGTATCTTTGATATTGTGTTCAACTATATTCATCATCCCCTTCCCAGAATGGCCCAGGACACCCTTGAGAGAGCCCTGATGGACTTTGCTAACAAGACCCAGGACAAGCTGGCCGCGGTGACCGCCCTGGAGGGGAAGCTGAACGACACGCTCAGCCAGCTGGGCGACCTGGAGGACGCCGTGCGCGAGGCTCGCATGAACACCAACGACGCCGAGCGGCTCAACAACAACAACGAGGACGTGCTTCGCGATCTGGAGGTAAGGACTTAACATTCCCTCTCTCTCATATGTATATATCACAGGGGAAATTGGAATACAGGGGAATCTGGAATCCTCCTAGGGGAGTCTGGAATCCTCCTAGGAGAGATTGGAATTCTCATATTCAGATCCCAATTCAGTACTAAAAATACTAGAACTGAATCATTTCACACCTAAACTTTCAATCAATTTCAGCATAGGCAAGCCTATTACTATTGTACCGGTTTATCGTCTGTTGTTCCCGTAATGAGGGTTAGACGTGCCTGCACTCTGATGCTGGGGCCTGATGGCAGCCTCTGTCCTGTAGTTCTTGGGCACAGCAAATTCAATACCCCTGCGAGTTATAGTCTCAACAACTTCAGCCAGCCAGCCACGCAGTGTCCCAACATTAAGTGATGAAATCTATGATTTGCATGCTCCTTTTCGTAATGGCACACTCCAGGAATGATACAAGGCTGTTGGGGTGTTGTTGAAACGGAGACTTTAGACAATCAGTCATCAGGTGTCCCTGTTATCGAAAAATTTTTGTCCATTTAGTTGTAGATGCAAGAATTAATTTTTAAAAGTTTCTAAACCTACAATATCCAATCAGTTATCAGTTATCTTATGACTTAGTTTCATCTGACACTGTTTGTGTTTGAATGTCTACAGGAAATGAGGCGCCTTACAGAAGAGAACGTGGATGACATTCGCGACGCCATCAGGGAAGGAGACGAGGTTGTGAAGAACGCCCGCAGGCTCCTGTCTGAGGCTCGGGTTGCACTGGGGGTAAGCTGCTGGATGTTTGTTTGTTTGTTTGAGCCTTTGTTTATTCTTGCTCATACTCAATTCAGCCGGATGGCCACTTGTCATTGAGGTAACAAGGGAAGCTGTCAGGTTACTAAATAGACAACATGTAACAAGATACAGATTAAATGACCTATATAATTATAACAAGACATTTCTCTTCTAGGGTACAGAAGTGTTGTTTTGGGTGGCTTAGCTTTGGGTTTGTGTGTCTGTCTGAACAGAGTACATGTAGGGTGGGTGAAAGATTGACTGGCAGAATGATACTTGATAGGAGGCCAAAAGATCAGACTCAGTAGATAGTCACAGGAGAATTCGGATGCCCATAGTGTGTGGGTCCCAGATTCACAACCTGTTATCCACCTTAAACAAATCCACGCGAAGGCCACCGTGTCAACTGTGACCCTCACTCAGGTGTAGGGGCTGACACGGTCATCCTTCTCGGAAAATCTGTACCTGTATATCTATGAATCTGTGTCTGTGCATGAATCTATATCTGATTATAAATAAAGATATTGAGTGATTGCCATACAGGAGAATTCAGGAAGCCGAGGATCGCATATTTTCCAGAAGTCTGAAGTCTCTGATTCCTTATGAAGTAGTTTAAACTGTAATATCTCTGATTATTTGTTTTCTTCTCTGTCCAGGAGGCTATAAAGAACGACGAGGCCCTGCGTAACGTGCGTCCGGAGCTTCAGCGTCGGGCCGACCTGCTGACCCAGAAACTGGCCGGCCCGCCTGACCTGGAGGACCTGGTGGAGGAGGCAGAGAAACATGCTCACAACCTGACTCTCAGGGCAAGGGATCTGGAAGGGTGGGATTGTTTGTTTGTTTGTGTGTCTTGCCCTAAGTTATGTATGGTTAGGGTTAGGGTTAGGGTTAGGGTTGGCTGCCTGATCTGGAGGATCTGGTGGAGGAGGCAGAGAAACACGCTCACAACCTGATGCTCAGGGCAAGGGATCTGGAAGGGTGCATTTGTTTGTGTGTGTGTGTGTGTGTGTGTGTGTGTGTGTGTGTGTGTGTGTGTGTGTACAGTTAGGGCTAGGGTCAGGGTGGAGGAGGCATGCCCACAAGCTGGCACTCATGGCCTACAAGGGGGGAGGGTCATCAAAATACCTGTTTTTTTAAGTCCACATAATTTTGATAATGTGGTGAACTGTGTCATTTGAGTCAATGAAATGTTTTGCCAACACTAGCATGTGAGTAACACTAACTTGACTTTTATGATAAATTTAGAATTTAAAATCCTTTGAGTGAATGAAAGTTACAGTATTACGTCTCCTTCTCCAGGCTGTTTGCAGAGACCAAGAACTTCTCGTCCGACGCCCTGGCCGCTGCTACGGCCTACGACAACATTGTGCAGGCTTTCGAGGATGCCGAGAGGGCTGCCAACGAAGCCAACGTGGCTGCCAAGGAGGGACTGGACCTGGTAAGGCTTTCTATCTCTGATACTAGTATTGCTCAGTTATAGGTAGTGCTGTGTACCGGTTCGCTGGACCGGTTCCGGACTTGTAAAAATGTTAAGGTTCAAGTCCAAAAAAACCTTTAAAAAGGTCAAGGACGATTTCTGGACCAAATTAAAACCCATGTCACGTACCCCTTTTTCTTCCAAACCACCTAAAACCTTCCATAGATTGCAAAATATGTGCTGCAAAATGAAGAAAACATAGCCATTGGGCATCGTCAAGTGTCGGCCTCCATGTTATGTGGCCACAGTTTTGCACATACAATGCACAATGTTGCAAGGTTGCCGAGCTGCCCAGGAGGGACTGGACCTGGTAAGGCTTTCTATCTCTGATATTAGTGTTGCTCAGTGATATGTAGTGCTTTGCACCTCTTATCTTATCTTGTAAATACTGGAACAAAATCCTCTCGGGTATAACGTCCAGGGGAGGTCTTGGTGCGCGGCTAAGTACGGCCGGTGGTGGAGGTGCTTGTAACAAAGTGAAACAAAACTTAACTATCTATACAAGGTGCAAAAAAATAAAGGAACAAGAAAAAAGTGATGGCCGTCTTAGCATGATGTATATTTTCCTCAGATATGTTAACAGAATCTCATTTTCCGTTCTTCCAGGCCACAGGAGAAGACTCGTTGAGCGAACTTGGCGAGGAATCCAAACAGCGCAGCTACGACCTGTTGGACGAAGCTGTGAAACTCAGGGACAGGGTGGACGGTAGGAGTTTGGATCATTGTTTACCACGAGTCAAAAATGATTGGGATCCTTCCTCTTGTCCCTGCACTGTCCTTAAAAATGAATTTCAATTGTCCCGAAGTGAGGATGAACAGTTACTATCCCAACCTGGAGTATTGTACTGTATGACTCCAACTTGAAGTCAAATTTATTTTGCTTATGTTCTGACTCGATCCCACGTGCACTATAATTGAAGAGTAGACAGGATATTTGGGGGGGACTTTTCCAGAGCCAAAAGCCGGGACGTGTGCCTGGTAGACAGGACTGACATTCTGATGTTTATTATTATCTTGTTGTCCCAAAAATGTCCCAAAGTGTCTTTTTAGTTGTCTCGGCCTAAAGTTTGGTGGTCAGTGGCCATCGGGACACCGTTAATTTCGAGCCCTGCCCATGAGTGTAATAGGAGAAGGGATGGTGTGGAAATATGCTTAGAAAGGCAGAGTCATTATAATTATGTACAAATATTGCAGTGTCATGCTTATAGTACAATATTGTAAAGTTAGGTTGTTACACAATATCATGTTTTGACAGGCAGAGTTGTACTTTTAAATGATAATGTGGTACGATTTTTTTTAAATCCTATTTTAACGTCATTTTTCCCTGAACTGGGGGTTAGACGTGCTTGCATCAAGTGCAAGTCTTTTTTGAAGCAAGATTTTTACGCAATGTAGTATGTAATTTTAGGTTTGTGACTTTCCCTGATCTAAATTATTTATAATTACACCTCCACCTGCAATGAAGTACAGTAAAAAAGCATCAATTTCAAAGTCAGTATCTTACAAGTAATAACTTTGGTCGAAGGAGCCAGTGTACAATATCCACGAGCCTCTCGCTAGATGCTGTCGCTGAAATAATCCTTCCTTCGTAATTGGATGAACCATAATGGCATTCTGTACATGTAGAGAGCAGTGGACTGTGCAAGAGAATTAACGTCCGTGTCCATAATATCACCAGGGTCCATAATATCGCCACCTTGAGAAAAAGTGTGCATTAAGATATTTTTACTGCAACATACCCTACAGGGTACATGTATGTACATTTGAGGTGTGCAGGAGTGCATACCATGTTGCAGTAAAAATATCTTAAAGCACACTGTTTCTTAAGGTGGCGATATTATGGACCCTGGTGATATTTTGGACACGGATGTTAGAAGATGAAATACATGTAGGCAGGGCTCACAATTCGTTTTTTTTTTACTTTTACAATGTACACTTAATTCTGATGCTTTAAGGAATGTCAAATATCTACATGTAGATGCACCAAGAGTTAAAAATTAAGTGGATAGCTCCAATTATGGATACACAAAAAGTGCGTATGCACTTAGTAATTCGAGCCCTGCATGTAGGTCATAACAACAGGTACATTTGTACATACATACGTGTAGTTGCTGTAAAATACATCTGTTAGTGTTAACTCTTATCCAACTGCATAGCACAATGAGATGATTGATGTAGCATGCAATAACATAATTATCTTTTAAAAACTATGTGCATGCACGCAGACTTAGGAAGTAGCACGGCTGACAAAGAGGCGGAAATAGCCCAGGGAAACCAAAATATCACCGACCTGAAGAAAGCAGTCGAGGAACTTAAGGACAGAATGGACCTCCTACCTGATGGTAAGGCATCGAAACAAGCATCTAGGGCTGGTTTCAAAACTTCACACTTATCCCAGGTAGAACTGATTTCATCTCGGTGATCTGGACTGAAGAGGAGGGATGGTGACAAACGTTCAATATCAAATACTGAGATAACATTAACTCAAGCAACTAGGTAAGATTTAAAAAAGGACGTTTTTTAAATGGTCAAAATTGAAATGTATCAGGTAGCATCCACTACCTTTCATCAGCGACTTGGATGCTACCTGAAACATCTGACTGTTTTAAAACTATCCAGTTGCTTGAATAACTGTTACCTTGGTATCTCATTACTTGGATGTCTAATCTTCATTGAGGAATGAAATTCAGGTTTATGAAACCAGATGAAGTCAAACTAAACCTGGGGAGAAAGTGTGAAGTCTTGACCACCGCCTGTTGTACGTACATGTATGTGAATAATAAACCCACTGTGTCTCTGTTGTGTGTGTGTTTGTTCTGTTGCTGTGTAGAAATGCAGGTGGACCTGGCCATGTTTCGCAATGAAATCCCCGTCGGTCAGGCACGCGTGAACCGAGGCTTCACGGAACTCGCGGTCCTGGAAGCCCGGATGGACGCCCTCCCCGGAAGTTAGTTCTCGCGCGCGTGGTGTGGCTGGCTGATGGAATGCAGACTCTCAGACATTTTTTTTTATTGCTTTACGGCCAGCTAACTTTGTGTATTGCATGAGCTTGTCGGCAGAACGTACTGTGCCTGTGCGAAATCTGGAACATACGGTGTATAGTATGAAAAGTTCGTCTGAGTTTGTAAATTGAATATTGAAAATCAAACCCAAAAAAAAAGAATTTCACTCACAATCCTTTTTGTGTATACCACTTTAACAGGACTAATTAATCGTGTTCAGATATTTTTGGATGATATTCTGTCTTTAGTTTCAAAATACAATGCAATATGTCAGAAAAGTTATCTTATGCAACTGACAATTCCGATGCAACAATGATCAAATAGCCAACAGAAATCATGGTTTCATGCAGGTGAAGTACGTTCTGTCAACTTGCTTGTATTGCCTGACACCAAATCTATTTAGTTTGAAGTTGCAGGTTTTAAGAGATGAAGCAGCATGGTACGTAGCTGGAGCACACAGAATAATAGGGACTTAACTAAGGACTGCAAACACAACATCTTCCTTTTCTTTTAGTTTGCATCTTTTTGCTGGAGATTTAAGTACACAGTAAGCATGGAGATGTGCCGAGTGTTTTGGTTGTATCATGCTATAGAAACAATTGCTGCAAGTTTATCAAGCTTTGTGCTCTTATATCATAGTCTCAAGCTTCATTTGAGAAGCTTGTTACAAACAGATAGTTGGCATACATTAGGTTATGTACATGTACATGACAAACGCATACTCCAATACTGAATGACTTTTTGTTATGCAATACTGATTGTGTGTTGTTGAATGGTTTGGACTAGATTTCGAAACATTGCCTTGCATGGGTAACAGGCTGTTCGTTAGCCACTAATACTTAGCTTTTCTTACAGGTACCTGTTATTGTATGCTGTTCTTTCCTAAGAGATGCTGCCAGTGTGTGTTTTACTCAAAAGCTGCAGATGTTGCAACAGTCTTGCATTCTCTGATAGATGCATTGACACGATGGCACAACTGACGACTATGCCGTTTTCTAATCTAATGAAAGCTCATCTGTATTGTGAGAATCCATAGTCAGAAAGTTAAAGCTTGTTCCAACACAAGGAAAGAACTCACCATAAATTTTTGGCTGATCCCGTCAACCTTCGTCAGATGTGTGATGCTATCGCTGACCACTTTCCAGAAGTCGGAAGCGTGATGACGTCAGGAGTGCATCAAAAGTGGCGGGAAGACAAAATCTGCCACCATCACGGTTCAGAGAGTTCTTTCCTTGCGTTGGAACAAGCTTAAACTTTCCGACTATGCCGTTTTCTGTTAACTAAGAGTTGAGCAGCTGCTTTTTTTTCTTGCATCCATGCTTGGTGTGCATAATCCCGTAGAATATGCAAGCAATACCTCTACCACATATACACATGTAGGTACTGTAAATGCATTTACTGTCAGTGGTTTTTATCTTTGAGTAAAAATGATTTTTTTTTGTGTCACAAGTACACTGTTGAAACAATTCTCTACCACATAGAAATAAATACTAAACAGATACTTGCAGCGTCATGATTTCTCATTAAGAAGATAGAGAAAACCACAACAGTTAAACCACTGTATAAATTTTGAGATCTACAGTACCTACATGTAATGCCGTAGAGTCGTTCCAATCATCTGTGACCGAACTCTGACAGTTTTTTTCTGTGACTTTACCTTAAGACCTCGGTGATGCGGCCAAGGATGTCCAGGATCGCGCTTTGGAAGCTGACCGCATTGCACAGGGAGTCATCGATGAGGTCGACGGCTTAGAGCCAGACGTAAGTTCTTCTACATTTATTGTTTTATTTATTCAATCGCGATGTCCACAAAAAACTAAAGCTTACAGCAGGGATGAGACTCCCTGAATTGCAAAAAGTTTGCATACACAATTGCGTATAAATTGCAGCGGACGAGATAGGTGATACACGTACAAATGTATTTATGTCCTACCTGGGCCGCGATTACGTTCGATACGGGTGTTCCGGCCCGTGTGATAACTAGCGGTACGGCCCGGGGGTTCTTAACGCGTACGGCCCGGTCCTTCCAAATGTTCCGTGGAACGATTCGAACGCGTTTCGGCCTAACCGCGTGCACCGATTTCGAAATTCGAAATTCAATACAAAATTCGGACGTTGGAATTGATGTTGTCGCATTTTTTGGGTTTAGGGACGCCAAATTTTCGCTCATTTCGCATTGAAAGGCGCGTTTTCTTGGGTGGGTATGACATAAATAAAATACAACACGGTGTATTCCGCATCACCCTCGGTCCCGGCCCTCCCGCGAGTCGGATCGCCCTCCGGTCGGGCTGATACCTCGGGCGATACGGAAAACCCCGTGTTGCATTCTATATACATCGCACATATACAATGTACTTCATTATACAATTTATATACCAAGGAAACCCTCTGACTTTTGTACAGATGAGGTTTAGGAAAGACAAAGCATGACTTATGACAATTCTTTGTTGTACAGGGTTAATGGCCCTAATACAGTAATAGTATGTAGAAAGGACTGTCGTCCTTGCCTTCGGAACTCTCACGGCCTGGTTGTTGTTCCTTAACTTCCTGCCGATTGCAGTTGTGTCAGTGTTTAGATCTAACATTGAGAAGCAAAGGGAAAAGCTTGATTGCGTAGTCATTGTGTTACATTCTCTAATGCCATGAGATGTTGTTACGTTAGGTGAAAGCCCTGGAGGATCAGGTGGGAGGAGCAGGGTCTACATCAGGCGACACCAACGCTGACATCAGGGCAGCTGAGAGAGACTGTAAGTACCTCTTCTTTCAATTTGAGGCAGCCGCCTTCAACTACATGTAGCTGAAGATTCTGCTGCCTTTTGTGGCTAGTACGAGATGGGGTTTGTTTGTTTTATATTGATATTCTTGAGTAGAAGGCTTTATATAAGCAATTATTATGCTTTTTGCCTGATACTCCATGATGTGTGAATAAATGAATAAAGAATCGTCCATCATGTTGGGGTCGTGTGGCGCAATGGCAGCGTGCACGACTCAAAATCAAGAGATCCCGGGTTCGAGTCCTGACATGCCACCTACCTTGTCAATGTACCCTTGGGAAAGGCACTTTACACGACTTTCCCCACTAAACTCAAGTGAAAATGAGTATTGTCTGTCCAGTATCCGTTTCTATGTGCGGGACACAACACCAGCAAACAGCTGCCTCTCTTCCGCATGCATTGCACTGTTGCAACTTCAATAAATTAAATTAAATTGATTAAATGAAAATTAAATTATATCTTGCAGTGAGGACGGTGTCCCGTAATCTGGGTGACCTGAAGGACCTGGCCGACGACCTGAATGACGAGGCGAGAAACGTGCGCGCTCTGAACGACCAGTTCAGCCGGAACCTCACCGACCTCATGGAGAAGATCAAACAGGCTCGCCAGCAGGCCAACACCGTAAGACAGATTTAGTTCTTAATGCAGCAAGTTTAAACTGTAATTTCCAACACAAGAAATTGGACTCACCCAAAATTTCGACTGTACAACTCCAGTCTTTGACTGTCTTGTACAAAGACAAAGACAGTCTTGAACAAAGACTGGAGTTGTACAGTCGAAAATTTGGGTGAGTCCAATTTCTTGTGTTGGAAATTAGTTTAAACTTTCTGCTTAATGACTTCTACCAACACAGATGAACACCCAAAATTTCGACTGTACAACTCCAGTCTTTGACTGTGTTGAACAAAAACAAAGACAGTCTTCAACAAAGACTGGAGTTGTACAGTCGAAATTTTGGGTTTGCTTTCTGGATCCAAAAGCCGCGTCATGTGCCTAATAAACAAAAGAAGGGCTGACATTCTGATGTTGATTATTTTTCTATTGTCCCAAAGTTTCTTTTTAGTTGTCCTAGCCTAAATTTTAGTGGCCATTGGCCATTGGACCACCTTTAATTTCGAGCCCTGCTTGTCACCTTCCTCAGATCAAAGTGTCTGTGGCCAACAGTGGAACCTGCATACGGTCCTACAAGCCCAACATCCAGCCTGGCTCTTCCATCAACACCATCGAGCTCAACTTCAAGACAACCGAAGCCGACAACCTTCTGTTCTACCTGGAAGGAAGGGATTCTGTAAGTGATGGTTTTTCTTTTGCATTTCCGTCGTGTTGTCACGTTTAATCTCTCACTTTATGTCGCAGTGAAAATGTAAGAACAATGTCATCTTGTATGATGAAAGGTTTGTCTAAACTAGTAAGAAATATGAATTTGTAAATGTTGGTGTACAAAGTTGCCTCTAACCACCTGCACTTTCTAGTAGTGTACCTTCGCCAAGAAGGTTATGTTTTCTATAGTGTTTGTGTGTGTGTGTGTGTGTGTGTTAAGACCTAGAAATGATTAGATGATCAGACTTAAGGCCCCAGGTGGCTTGTTTTACATTTAGGCTAACCACCTTTTTTCTTGTTAAAACTTCCAACACAAAAACTTCTCTCACCTACAGCTTTCAATCAGTCACTCTTGTCTTCCTCAGTAGACTGACCCAGTGAGGCTTGTCACGTGGCTTCTCTGAAGTGTGACGTCAACACTGGGTCAAAGGTATCTGGTAGACGATGTCGGCCCCCGTCGCAGTTCAGTGAAGGGTGATGGGCCCTGATGTATATAGCCTCCTTCACCCCTCTCAGGAAATAGTCTTGTTCAGTGTCCAAAATCCTTACAGTGGCAAGTGAAACAAAGTGACAACTTTTTTGTTCTTCCTTTCCTTCTGCAGAAGGACTTCCTGTCCCTGGAGACCCGTAACAGCCGTGTGGTGTTCCGCTGGAACGTCGGCTCTGGTATTGGCAACATAGAGTACCCCAGCCTTCCCATCAATGACGACAGGTACGTTCTGGTTTTTTGTTTATCGTGGAACAACTCTCCTATAGCTGCAAAACCCTTGGGTTCATCATGAAACTGTAACAGTTTTACCATCTGTCCTGCATTAATGATAATGATCAGTTTATTGCAAATTCATGCCCGAAGGCTGATTGTAGAGAACAAAGGATGAAGAACATTTACACAGAGTACAAAATAACTTCAAAATCTACATAATAAAAGGTAATAGTCTAAAGCTACATTGTATAGCTATGTCTAAAACTATGTCTGAAGGGTTTGACTTATCCTTAGTTTGTATACTATGGAAGATGTAAATGTCCCACCTTGTCTAAAATTTGTGGGTTTTGGGTAGTTAAGAGAAGAATAGTTTTTTCTTAGTTTAGGGAAATTGGGATAAATTATAGAAGTTTGGATTGACATTTTACAGGTGGTACCGCATCGTGGCCAAGCGCGTGAGCGGCAGCGGGGAGCTCCGTGTGCAGCTGTCGAGCGATAAGGACGACGCGGCGCCCGAGACCGGCCAGGCGCCGCCCGGCTACACCATCCTGGACGTGGACAGCAACGACGACCTCTACTTGGGTGGGGTTCCTCCGGATAAACAGGTACTGTACATGTATTTCATTTCATCAAGGTTATGTTTTCAGTGGCGTTCGTGTATCTGTGTGTGTCGGGTGCGTGTTTGTATGCGAATGCGTGTGTGTTTGTGTGTCTGTAATGACATCCTCTACTTGGGTGGTGTTCCTCCGGATAAACAGGTACAGTACATGTATCTCATTTATTACTTTCACCAAGAAAGTTATGTTCTCAGTGGCGTTTGTGTATCTGTGTGTGTCGTGTGTGTGTCTGTGTGTGTGTGTGTATGTGAATGCGTGTGTGTGTTTGTGTGTCACAACCTTTACTTGTGCGGGGTTCCTCCAGATAAGCAGGAGTGGCACAGTATTTTTTTAATGTTCCTGTCATTGCAGAAACCCGCCGTAGGGGTAGGCCAAAACTGTGGTACTGTGTAAGAATATAACTAGTACGTAAATGTGCAAATAAATAAGTCTAGTTATCAAAATGTAATTTTAAGTAGAGTTTTAGAAGTATATACAACTTTATGATAAAAATTGAAATAATTCTATTGGTGTAAAGTATAACTATTGGTCTAAAGTATAACTGATGTCACAACTCAATTCAGCTAAATCGACATAGCTAAGTGTATTTCAAAGGTTGCGTGTGAATAAACCATTCTGTCTTCTCCCGCGAATATCTACGATTCTCCCCTGCAGCAAGCCCTGGAAGCCGCGACCATCTTGACTTCAGAGTTTAACGGCTGCCTGGGAGAAGTCCTGCTCGATGACAAACCCATCGGACTGTACAACTTTGCCACCACGTCCGGAGAGTGCAGCGGCTGTGTGGAAAGGTAAGGGGAAAAAAGTTTTTTAAGTGATTGGTCACTAATTAGCCGGATGAAGGCGACAGTGGTCGCAGAAAATTTGATCTGTGTTTAACCTGTGTCTTTGAAGAAAGTTCAACATTTTACTCTTATAATAAGTTAAACACTTTTTCTTTCTCTGGCATCGGTGGCACAACGGTTAGAGTGTTGGACTCGGAACAAATAGGTCCCGGGTTCGATACTCACCGTGGCCCGACGTTGTGCCCTTGGGAAAGGCACTTTACACGACTTTCCCACCATGTATGGTGGAGTGACGCCCACCGAGCCTCTTAGGCTAATTTGTCAAACTGGGTGCCAAAAACACCCTACGGATTTGGTGTGCCAATGTGTCAACATCAGCACATTTGCGACCAAGAGCCGTTAAATTTTTTTTTCCTTTCTCTTTCTCTCAGCCCCCGAGAGAGGACGGCCTCCAACACCAATCTTCTGAAAGTGATTGGTCATGAATTATCCTGATGTAGGCGACAGTGGTTGCTGAAAATTTGATCTGTGTGTGTGAAGAAAGTTCAGCATTTTACTATAACATACTCCAAAAAGCAGTTACTCAAGCAACTGGACATGGTTTTGGAAACGGTCAGACGTTTCAGCACCTTAGTGACTTTAGTCACTAATAAAAGCTAGTGGACACTAGCTGAAACGTCTGACCTTTTCCAAAATCTTGAGTAACTGCTTTTTGGCGTATCTTATTACCTGGACGTCTAACCTTCATCAACGTTTTTCTATAACACATTTTTTCTTTCCTTTCAGCCCCCGAGAGAGGACGGCCTCCAACACCTACACCTTCCTGGGCGACGGTTTTGTGGTGATGCCGAAGATTCCGTCCTGGAACGACAGAATCACGTACCTCAACTTCAACTTCAAGACCTTCGCAGAAAACGCTCTTATCTTCTTCGTCGCCGATGAAAACCAGGTCTGTGTCACAAAACTGTCGACTTTTAACCGACTGCTGAGTTAGCTGACGTTGCAGCCACTATTCACATTTATCCACGAAGTTACATACATTGAAAAACTTGGTGTTTGAGTAACAGTTTAGATTTACATCTTTGTAGTCCTTCTTTGGCGAAAATGACTATTGAGTATCCTACTGAATGTACGTGTACTACTAGTGTTAAATTCACAGAAGTGCAGTATATTGGGAGATGTTGTGTTAGAGATCTCTTGAATGCATTTTTTTCACATTGTAGACATTGAACCATTTAGTGCTTGTATACAGTTGGTTAGACTTCGTACATGTAGGAGAAATAGTTAAGATGTGTTACAAAATTTTGTGTATTTTCATCGGTAAATGAAATGTACACACCAGGATAAGACCACAGACAGTACAACTTTATGTGTGACAGGGCTGGAAATATTGGGTGCATGTGCACCTTAGTGCACCCAAAATTGGAGCTGTGCACCTAATTTTTTTACCCAAATATTTTCGTAGGTATTTTTGTACATACGAAATGTATAATAGTATACAGGATAGTCTTGGCATCTAAGTGTCAGAAAAATAGTAAATTCTTTGTTTAGGATTTTGAAGTTACATGTAGCTCCCATTTCAGATTCAAGCTCAGAAGAGTAGCAGTAAGATCTGTAATTTGGTTTTGTTTTATATGATGCACCCAGAAAATTTTTTGTGCACCAAATTTTTTAGGTTGGGTGCACCAGTGCACCTATTACCAAAAATAAATTTCAAGCCCTGTGTTGACTGTCCATATGTGTTTCTACAGGGAGACTACTTTGCCGTGTACCTGAAAGACGGGAGGGTCGGAGTACAGTTCAACCTGGGCAGCGGAAAACTCGAGATCCTCTCTGACGACAAGTACAGCAACGGGGAGTGGACCTATGTACGCATCTCCAGGACTGGCAAAGATGGTGAGCTTTTTGTGTTACCCACTTTTCCCTGCTACATAGCTTCTTTATTATCTTTCTGTCTTTATTAAACTTGTGACGGTAATACACATGGAACACTAGGCAGTAAATCTAGCTGATGCTGTGCTTCACACATTAAAAAACATTATACACACAACAAAATAGATACAGGCAAAGATTTCATGAAATACATAATCATACATGAAGGCTTATAACTCTCATTTTTAATGTTTGCCAATTAAGTGCCTGCTAATTTAAAGGATATCCAGGAATCTAGAATTCTTGGATGAGATACAAGACTTAGAAGAGGTTGATTTTGCCTTTCGATGTTTTCAGCCGAGCTGGCTGTGACGAATGAACAGAACGTGAAGAAGGCCACCTCCCCTGGGTCCCTCACCGATCTTGCCGTCACAGACCGCATGTACATCGGAGGCCTGCCCGGGAGCTACAGGGTCATGTAAGTAAGACTCTCACATTCTGCAAGATTAATTAAGGCAGACACTTTAGAGTTGTTATTGCAACTGAATTGCACATTTCTCTAAGTTCATATTAAGGAGAAGTTGGAGATGATGAAAGTGAAAAAATGATCTCGAATCAGTTTCGCTTTTTGAACTGCTACATTGTACTCTTCACTGGCATTGACAAAAATGACAGACACTACATGTATGTACATATTACTGTACTGGATCATTGTACTGGAAAAATTACTCGGGAAATTCCCATACCGTGGTACATCTTTTCATAATTTCAACAAGTGTGATAAACAGTGGACCAAGGCTTGAACTAAGTTAGGATAAGAATAAAATGAATGTGTCTTGTTCCCACAGGCAGGGCATCGACATCCCGACCATCTCCTTCATCGGCTGTCTTCAGGACCTCACGGTCGGGAGGGATCCGCAGAAACTGGACCAGAACCTGGCCATTCTGGGCATGACACCCGGCTGCCAGGATCAGGTAAGGGATTCGTGTTCCTGCTGTAGTGGCCTTTATGTATGGGCCATCCAACTATTTACGCACACCACTACCAGCGTATTTTAGCCCCCTGCTTCGGTTTAAGGATCCTCGGAAATTAGACCAGAACCTGGCCATTCTTGGCACATAGAACTACTGATAACTACTAAGAAACTACGGGTAAAAACTACTTGGTTTGACTTCTTTTTTGAAGACAGAGGAAGACAAAGGATCCCACTTGTTCTATAATTTGTGGGTTTTCGGATGTTAAGAGGAGAGTAGTTTTCTTTTCATTTGTGTATGTGTGAAAGTTTGGGTAGAATTTGGAGGCTACGTCAAAGACTTCACTTCGTTCATTGCTATAGAGGGTACAATTTGAGATAAAATGCGTTTCGTCTTTCACCGTATTAATAGAGTAATTTGGTCTCTTTCCCTCCCAGGTTGTTCGCACCATCGGAATGTCTGGCGAGCCGGGTGCCTACACGACCCTGCCGACCGACAGGGATGGAAACCTGGCGGACGGAGGCTCCGTGTTCCTGGGCTTCACCACCAACACCCCCGACGGCCTGTTGCTCCTGGCAACCGGAGGCAGCCGCAGAAGGAGGCGGCAGGCGGGAACGGTAAGAACTCTTTGTTTTTATTGAAACAAATTGCCTAGAAAAAAAGAAAGGTCATACAGGATGGTCCCTGGAAAGACTGAGAGAGAAGGGGGTGAAACGAGGTGACGGAGGAAAGGTTTATCTTCGTGGATAAAAGAAGAAGGATTGCAACCCAACTTAACAAGATATGAACTTAAATTTATTGTTACTGGACTTATTGGAGGGAGAAGGACCTTTGTATCTACCAGTCTTTACTTCTCTAACATCAAGAAGAAGAAGGAACTCTCTGTGACCATTAAGAAACACAGTCCAGCTATTGTAACGAAAAACCAATGCCATGTAAAAGACCTTCATGTACATCCATCTCAATATGGAATGGCCTGCCTTTATGCCACTCAATCGGCTAGTAAGTGTAAGTTTTGGGACGAGCTTCGTATGTATTTTGATCTGTCTTACCAAGGTTTAACCTCCCCTTCTACTTCATCAGGCCTTCTACTCCCTGGCTGTGGTCAAAGGTCGTATCCAAGCGAAGTTCAGCGCCGGAGAGGGCAGTCCCGTTACCATAGTAACCAGGACCCAGAACGGACAATTTGATGACGGGGCGGACCACAACATCGAGGTGACCAGGAGAGGAGACAGGTACGTTGGATCAGCGTACAAAATACCTGGTTGCCCAGTTGCCCCGGGCAACCAAATTTTACTTGGCAACCTATTTTTGAACCTAGGTAGCCGAGTGTGCTACCTGAATTTTAAT